TGTGTGTGTGTGTGTGTATATATATATATATATACTACCATGGATGTTTTGTATTTTATCTTGTAACCCACCAGCAGTTGGAATAGTTTGGCAGCATACAAATTTAAATAATAATAGTGATGATGATGATGATGATGATGATGATGATGACAACGATGATGGCAGCAACAGCTATAATATACGTCATAGGTAAGGAACTTACTACATCCCTCATTATTTTCCATGCTAGTTACAGTAACATTAGCAACATCCAGAGCCTCTGCTGGAGTCTTTGCTAGGATGCTCACGTATGAAAGAAGTATAAGAATACTCTCCAGAAGAGTTTTGTAAATTCTAACAGAGAGCTATTTAGTTTGCACCAGCTAAACATGCATTCCCTCATTTTAATCCTAAAACAATCCTGCAAGGTAGGCTGGGCTGGAGACTGAAATTCACTTGAAGTCAACCAGTGATCTCCAAGTTTTGTTGTGGACTTGAATCAAATCAAAGTCCAATAAATATTACACTAAAACAACTTTCTGTTGTTTAGTTCAAATTTGCTTTCTGACTAGAGACACAAGAGAACAAAGAAAGCAACAGGACAACAAAAGTTAAAAAAGAAAACAGGAATGAGAAGTTGAAAAATAGAAGGAGAAATTTGCTTGGTAAATAAATAAGTAAATAAATTGCTAAATTAAGGAAACAAGTAAAACTGTCTCTCCTGGAAAAAGACATAAATACTGCAAAAATCTGCATGTCTTTAGGGGCCTTGGCCAACTAGTTAACTATTTCCCACCAAACAAACAATAATAATGTGTTTTCTAAACCTAACCTTATATAATCTACTAGTTATTTAGAACATCTGGTATTATTTGGCAGGTTCCAATTGTATTTCATTAATATACATATAAAAATGTATGTTTAAAATTTTTCATTGACATTTTGAACTGGAACCAATTACATATTTTCCATAGAAATATTACTTTGAATAGTGAAAATCTGAATAATGTACCATTTTGTGGAATTCATTAACTGCACTAATTGAGACCTACCTGTATTTATATCAACATGGTTGACAACAAATAATGAGATCCAGTAACATCCCTCTTCCCACCATCCCCTTTTACTACCATGTACCGTGCACACAGATTAAACACATCATCTGAATCCACATCATGGTACCAACTCCATCTTTCCTACATGTGAGCTGTTGTTAGATGAGTAACTGATCTGCAGCTGCTTTCATCATAAGCTTTAAACCACTACTCCACTATTCAAATTCAAAATGTCAGTAGCAACATTTTAAATCGAAACATTAATGTTATTATAAATGACAGCATCCGATCAAAACAATATTACTACACATGAACAAATTAGCAAACAAGAAAATATGGGGAAAATATTCTTATTAAACTTTGGGCAATCCAAAGGCAGTTTTTGACAAGGGGCATTTTTGTGTCCAACTAGCCATATAATTTTTTTGTTTACATGGCAGCTCTTTTGATCCCACTGCTCCCAGATGTATCTCTATTAAGTTGCATTTTTAACCTTCTTAAATTGTCCTTTTAACCATCCAAAACAGTACTTTTGACTATCAATTCTTCATGGTACAATTTTTTTTTTTTTTGGTGGGGGGTAGGATCATTGTGTTAAGTAAATTCACTATGTTCTGTAGACAAGGTCGTAGCTTAGAATAAGTAAGCTAATGATTTATTAAATAAAATGTAGTTAAAAAAACACATGGCTTAGTGCAATGTATGAAACCATGCAAAACTTCACTCTGAAACTGCTCTCTCAGAAGTCTCTACTCTATCTGGGGCTCAATCATGGGATCCAAAATTACATTTAGTTGCAGAAGTACTTTTCTGAATATTAGGATTCAAATTAAACTACTGGCAGAGCCTAACTCCATATCACAATCCAACTGAATTCATCATTTTTTGAATACATTATAAGGTTAACATGAGCTTGACTCATCTAATATATTTCTTCAAACAGACCACAGTTAAATATCACTGTTAGTGAAAATTGTTTGGGAATTCTAGTTTAATAGTAAACAAGCAATATTCTAATACAAGTTGCCTGATCATTTCTGTTTTCTAGTGGGAACAACTAAAAAAATTGATTCCATCATCTTTTTTAGCATTATACCCAATATACTTTGTCTCACTATGATGTGTGAATTAATTGACTATGGTGGTTCAACAGATTGCAGTTCAAAATCCCAAGTGAGTGTCATGTGTGAATATACTCAAAGTCCTAAGCTGTTGTTATATTATTTCCTGTTCAAACATATTACTAAGCAAAATATTGGCAGAGCTGTCACAAAGAAACAAGTGGATCTGATTATGAATCTGCTAATGGTGCTGTTCAATTAAATTATCCTTTAGACACAAAAACAATGTCTTTTAAGAGTTTTTATTGGGATGTTGAAATGAAGAAAGGCTTACTTACCTAATCGTAGCTCTCCAAAATTGCCACAACCAATTTTCTTTCCAACTCTGAAGTTAGGTCCAACCATTAACACACCAGAGTTTGATGAGCTGCTACCTCGTGGATTGTGACTTGAGCGTCCACTAGGCCTTGCCATTCTATCATCCAATTTGTCTTTGTCTTTTTTTTTATCCATATCAAGTTTACGGTACTCCACTTTGAACTTCTTCCCCCAATCAAGACAAGCAAAGTCAAATGGGGTAAAGTAGAAATGAAAACATCCTTAGTTAAGCGCTCCACTTAGTTACTGTGAATTATGAAGCTGCTGCAGGCAGTCACTCTTTGCATATTCATCCCATTCGCAAAGTGTTTTTCACTGGTAGCTATTAGAGCAAAATCTAAGCAGATCTTCTATCAGCACCATTTACTGTTTAAAGTGCTTCTGAAACAAAAGTAACCATTTATTAAATAAATGTGTTATATATAAAACAAAATTAAAATTTGTTAAACCAACAAACATTTAATACAAACTACTCACAACCTACTACTTCACAATACCTGCAATGAAAAATAGCAAGACAGGATACCTCAAATAATTATTCAGAATAATGCACACCAAATTACATAGAGAATTTGCTGAAATCCACAAGTACATATCAAAACAACTATACACAATAATGTTTGCTCAATTCTAAATTTAACTTCAACCCATGTTAGCCCATATACAATAATGAAGCTAATCTATCACTAGCACAAGAGTTTTCTTGACTACATGGAATGCTTGGGAAAAGACAACCCAGAAAACAGTTACAGGTAGTCCTTGAGTTAAGACGGCAATTGGGACTAGGAATTCTCGTTGCTAAACAATGCAGTCGTAAAGCATGTCACATGACTGCAGCGCTTAGCAACAGCAATCCTGGCAGTCCCTTTTGCTGTCATTGACTGAATCCCACTGGTTGTTAGCCAAGGATCCACCCCAATCCAAGCCATTCCCAGCTTGGTCCCTCCCATCTCCAAGCCTTGATAAGGTAAGGGACTGTCTCCTCTGCCTCTTCTTGAACTCTCTGCACCTGCCTATCTCCCCACCATCTCTGCCCTTTTGGCTGCCCACCTAACCACTGCTGCCAGCTGTCCCTTCTGCCCAGCCCTAATCTGCCACCACACCCACCGCAGCGCTCGCCACTACTGTACCAGCCAGGGCCTTCTACGCACCACCTTCTTTCGCATCGGTGCTGCTGGGGCTTCTCTTGCACCCTGGCCAGGGCCTTCATTCATGCACCAAAAGGTGGTCGTAAATGTGGGTGGGTCCAAGTGGACCCAAATTTTGTTCACATGACTGTGGGAGTGCTGCAACAGCCAGAACTTAAGAGGACTGGTCATAAATCCCTTTGTTCAGGGCCATCATAATTTTGAACGTTCATTGAACAAATGGACGTTAAGCAAGAACTATCTGTACTTTTAAATATCTGACCAGCCTTCTGGCTGTCATCAGTAATCCTATTCTTCCATCTCACTTACAATGTCCTAATTTACAATCCTCAGTTCCAGTTACTCCCCATATTCTTAGCTACCAAGTAAAGTTGATGTTGCTCAACCAATCAACAATGCCCCTTAACTCTTCTACAAATTAAATTATTTGAAAGTTCTTTGAAACTTGCAGAAACTGTCAAGTGCTTTAAGGGTGAATTTCAGATCAAATTTTGATGCAAAGATTAACTCTTACCCAAAGACTTTTTAAACTCCATTTTACCCCTTTTTCTTTTGGAGCAGATCTTTGGGTATTTCAATTAACATACAGGTAGTTCTTGGGTCACAACCACTTGTTCAGCAACTGTTCAGTTACAATGGTGCTGAAGGAAGGGGATTTACGACCAGCCCTTGAAATTGTGGCCGTTCACAATTTTGGCACTTGGCAACTAGTGCCCGCCCACAGCACCCACCTGTAGCTCTCACCCGCCAGCCTGCTTGCCTAGGACTCCTGCCTCTTCCCATGCCGTGGTCACATGAGTTCCTTGTTTAACGACCTGCATGGTCCTGGGGTCACAAGAGCAACTGGGACTGCCAGGATTGCCATCATTAAGCAATGCAGTCAGGTGATGTTGCACTTTATGACTACATCGTTTAGTGCCAGCAATTCCGGTCCCAATTGCCATTGTAACCCAAGGACTACCTGTATTTGTTACAAAGTAACACCTCCCATAAGAGCTAAACCTCCTAGACTAAACAACTAAGCAACTCAATTTGATGACAGGAGCATCAATATCTAAAATAATGAGTCATCAAAAATATGAGTCCAGGCCAAAGTATTCCAGCAGAGGAAAAAAGATTTTCAGGAATCAGAAATGCTAAACTGGCTCCTTCTTGGTGCTTTATATTACCATTTTTTAATTTGTTAATTAATACGCCTGCTGTTGTTGACTAGCTAGAAGACTAGCTCCTGAAGGTGTTCACTTTAATTACCTTCTCTGAAGTCCCTACAACTATGCTTAAAATCTAAGAGTCATTTCTTTACCTTTCTGTAAGTAAGATAATTTATAAATCATACTTACCCAAGAAAATGTTCCACCTTTTTCATATTTTCTCATCACAAGTTGTACACTGTTTTATTTGTGCATGTCATCTGAAAATAAAAATACACTTAACATTAGCAATAAACACAGTTCAGTATTTCAACAGTTATTTCTTGATGCAATTAACATTTTACAATTAATCCCAGCAAGTATATTTGTAAGCTGACACTGAAAAGTACACTAGCAATGTATGTTACCTGACAGTATAAAAAATGTTACTGTGAACATACTTTAGGTTTCCTGATCTGCATGGGCCCCTACTCCTGTATTACTCCACAATAATTTTAAACAGTCCTGGTTTTAGCTACTTTCCTGGTCACCTTTCTTATCACTAAAAATTGGCATTTATACCAGAGGATTGATTAATAGCTAAAGTAATAGAGGTTCAAAAAGCAATAAATGGGATGGAGATCAAAGAAATTACAGGTCAGTTAGCTTAACAACAGTTGAACACTCTTAAAAGATAACTATCAACAGTCACATATCTTACTGATGAAGAATCAGTATAACTCTTGCAAAGGCAAAATCTATATCTTTTTAGGCTTTCAGAGTTCCCTAAAAGTGGGTGATCTAGCATATTTCATTGTTTCAAAAGGAATGTGACTTAAGACATCAATTCAACTAATTTTCTTATGAATTGAACATGGGGATCACTTCATGAAAAAACAGGATTCTCAGAAGACAGGATGGTTTTAAATGTTCTTTATTTTTCTCCTGGTAATCTAAGCTTTAAAAGTATCATCTAAAGGCAGACATTATCAGCTGCTGTCTGACCAAGAATTCACCTAGTTTACACTCAATTGAGGTTCCAGATATATAGGAAACAAATATGTGGGAACACCAGCAATGGAATGGGCATGTATGTATGATATAGCAGACTGAGGAACTTGTGCTGTAATTGTTTTGCTTGCTTTATGCAGGCTCCAGGAAAAAAGTATTGGCACTTTTTTTAAACTTCACCAACAAACAGCTTTGCAGAATATCCTTGTACAGGTAGTCCTCGGCTTACGTCCATTTGTTCAGTGACAGTTCAAAGTTACAGCAGTGCTGAAAAAATGGACATACAACAGGCCATCGCAGCACTCCTACAGTCATGTGATCATGACCCAGGCGCTCAGGTGCCTAGCTCGTGATTACAATGCCACAGGGAGCCGCGGTCACATGACTGCCATTTGTGACCTGCCCTGCTGGCTTCCCACCCAAGCAAAGTCAAAGGGGAAGCCGGCAGGGAAGGTCACAAGACACTCCAGTAAGTTGCTCCTGCCCACAGGACCCCTCCATCAGTGTGCAGCCTCCACTGACCCTCCCAGGCCTCCCCCAACTCACATACGGCCTGCACTGGCCCTCCCCCAGCCTCCCCCACTCTCCTTATCTGGGATTCCCACTGCTTCCTACTTAACAACCTGCACATCTTGGGGTTACGACAGCAACCGTGACTGCCAGGATCGCCATTGCTAAGTGATGTGGTCATGTGATATCGCACTTTACAACCGCATCATTTAGCAATGGTAATCCCAGTCACAATTGCCATCAAAACCCGAGGACCACCTGTATTTGTTATATGATGAACAGTATTATGTTTCTAAGTTTGTAACATACTCTACACGACCTGCTATAATTTGCAGAGATATTCT